CTCTTGTTCATATGGTATCTCTTGAAATGGTTGAACATTAACCATTTCCTTTTGGTACAATGACTCTGTGTAATAAATGGTAGTATTTAAGAAAAAATATTTTTAACTAATAATGGCATTTGAACTTTCTAGTGTGTACTGGTAAGGAGTTCTGGTAGCGTAGTGGTTACGAATCAGGCTGCGAACCTTAAGGCCAGCAGTTCGAAACTACCAGCCGCTCTGCGGGAGAAAGATGAGGCGTTTTGCTCCCGTAAAGATTTATAGCCTCAGAAACCCTGTACAGGGTCGCTATGGGTCGAAACGGACTCGATGGCATTAAACAACAACAACAACAGTGTGTACTATATAAATCATACATTTGAGCTATGTTTTTTTGTGCTAAATCTTGTCAGTTTCTTCGTAGTTTTAATGTTTCCTTGTTCTGCTTGGATCTTCATTTTCATGGTTAAGTTGTGAAGTATTGATTTTCTTTGGAATTACCCTATAGTCTATTAAATTTTCCCTGCATTTAAGATGGTCTACTGTATCCTGCAGTCTACCTGACCTCCTCACCACCTGGATCATTGTTCCTATATTTTTACCTTCTTTGACACTGTTAATATTTTGATCTTTGATTGGCCTCACAGGTCCTCTGAATTCATTGTTGTTATTTTGTTCTGTTCTGAACTCTGCTGTCAGCTGGGTTCCAGGTGGTGTTGCCGTGTCTGTCAATCTCTGGTTGTTTTTTGTTCTTGCTGGTTTTCATTCCAAAGAACTCCCTTTAGAATGTTTAGAAGTGCTGAATTGACCTTGACAAAATCTCTTAGCTTCTGTTTATTCTAGAATTTTTTTTTTTTTTATGTTTTGTTGTGAATTATGTGATAGGTTATATGGGCAAGCATTAGCTTTACATTCATCCTGTCGTATATCAGCATGAATCTTAGACTCTCTTCAGATTTTTTTTTTTAATCATTTTTAATGCTTTCTCTTCTATTTTAGCAGAGTTGTCTTCCAGCTTGCTGGTTCTGGCTTCCGTCTCTTCAATTCTACTCCTTTGCTCTTTCAGTGTATTGTCCATTTCTGATATTATTAATCATCTGGACCTCTTTTTGGAAGTTTTGAATTGTTTCCAGTGCTGTATCTATCTTGTTTGATTGCTCCTGTAGCATTTTCCTGACTTCTTCCTTATTTTGCTCCACTCCTTTGTGGAGCATTTGAATTTGTTTCCATATCCTTCTTTTGAATTCCTTCTCAGGCAGATCCAAAGCCTGCTTTTCTGCTACTGGGAAGCCTGTGTCTGCCTCCAGCTCATGTGTCTCAGTTACTCATTTCTGTTTTTAGACATGTGCTGAGATCTTTTGTTGTGTTTTCTTGGACATTTTCAGTAGTTAGGTGGATTATTAATGCTTAAATGAATTCATATTGCTATGTTGTTAAGCTTACTGAGTGTCTCTTGGTGGATGTGATCTTGGAGATAGGCTTCCCTTTTCACTTGTAATGCCTAGCAGCTGGTATTGGCTTTTATCTAAATGATGGGATATTACAGGGTATGCTTGTAGCTTGGCTATATGAGCACACTTGCTGTCTCTCTCTTCTTGGGTATGGTAGGGGGAGAAAGCTCCCACCCCTAGGAAAAGAGAGAGACCAAAAGGCCCCCAAACAGAAACAATATAAAAGCAGAGACAAAAACCACCACTCAAAACCAAAAATAAAACGGTAGCCTTTGCTGTGTAGGCAGGGATAAAGGGTCCCGCACAGGTCAACTTTAGGGCTGGGTCCCAGAGTCAGATGTCATAAGAAACAGCCGGCAGGACCAGTGGGGCTCTCAGGAATCTCCTCCCTGTGTCGTGGGAAAACTGTGGGCGCAACGCTGGACTCTTTTGGAAGTGTGCTGCTGCCTGCCTCAATGTGTCCGGGCTGGGCAGTGAGGGTGCAACCAGGAGAGGAGGAAAGAAACATGAAAAATGGAAATTCTGTCACACCTTTTTCCCGATGCAGCTCTGCGGCTTCTTAGTGCTGTGTCACTTGAGCTATGTTTGGTAATTTTCATACTTCTGTATAATAACTCTCAACTATTTTTGTGGGTGACGTGTAAGAGGAAACTGCAGCCTTCTTCCCTTTCCATATAAAACATTGGTATTTCCTCTTTTTTCCAAGGAGCATGAATAACTTTTGGTGTTTGGTGTAATTTCCTATTTGGTTATTTGCTATCCATTTAATTTAAAAGTTACATGTTGAGCAAGACAGTTCTTCTCTGATTTTGACAGGATAATGGAATGACTATCTTTCTGTTTGGCCAGCATAGTTTTGTAGAATACTTTGAGTGGGATTGATAACTCCCCAGTTTGCTATAATTAATGTGGGTTAAATATATGAGAATATGTATATGTGTGTATGTAAATATGCACAGTACATTCTGTAGTTGTATTTACCTTTATCATCATTCATCAGTCTGTTGCTTTATACCTAGGTCTTTTTATCTAAGTATATTTGCCTGCATTACTTTTTAAGGCATTTGCATTTGTGATAATCAGCTATGAAATCTCTTAATCTCATTTTCCTGAAGGTGTCTCCCTCCCAGATGATGATCCAGAGGCTGGCCAGGGAAGCAAGTTTTGCCTAGTGGCCATTGGCAGACTGCAGGTAAGTGTGATGAATTTTCCACATTTATATTCCTTTTCAGAAATCATCCTCAGAACTTGTTATTTTATCTTATCTTCCTAGCCTCTGAATACAAATCAGAAATTCTATTTAAATCCAGCATTTTAAAGGAACATGGCATTTGAAGCTAACCTTGCCTTTCTTGGTTTTAGCAAAAGCTGAAGAGCATGTGACAGGGAGGCTTTCACTTTATTTTTTTTTTAGCTTTTTTTGTTGTTGATAGGTGCTGTCAAGTTGGTTCCGACTCATAGCGACCCTCTGCCCAACAGAATGAGACACTGCCCGGTCCTGTGCTATCTTCACAGTTATTGTTACACTTGATCCCATTGCTGTGTCAATCCAAGGCATTGGAGGTCTTCTTTTTTTTCACTGACCCTCCACTTTACCAAGCATGAGCTCCAGAGACTGGTCCCACCTGATAACATGTCTGAAATATGAGAGATGAAGTCTTGGCATCCTGGTTTCTGAGAATCATTCTGCCTGTACTTCTTCCAACACAGATGTTTTGTTTTTTGTTTTTACAATATTGAGTTTTTTTGTTCCTATACAAGAAAAGAGAGTTCCTTTTAAGTTATCATTATAGAACTAATAATAAAGAAGTGAAATTTTTTTTTTACTCTTAAAAATAGATATGCTTCTTAGTTTCTTGAGGTCTAGTTTTACAATTTGAATAATGAACACAGCCTAGCCAGATAAAAATAAGTGGGGTTTTGGGTTGAATTAAATTTTTACTATCTTTACTGTCTTGGTGAAGAGTACTTGTGTGTAAGTGGAGTAGACCTTGTGACCTCTTCTAATTGTAATTGTCATTATTTTCCTTTCTGAATGAAATGTGAAAGTTCAGAAATTCCAAAAAAGGTGGGAAAGTCATGTGTATGCAGATGGCCATGAGGAGATGGGAACTCTATCTGTAAAGAAGATAATAAGTTGACCTCATTTTAATATTTTCATTATCAGGTAACCAGTTCTCCCAACTGTACAGACATGAGTAACGTTTGTCAACCTACAGAATTTATCTCCCGACACAACATTGAAGGAATCTTCACTTTTGTGGATCACCGCTGTGTGGCTACTGTTGGCTACCAGCCACAGGTGAGGCACTGAAGCTATTATGCCACTTAGACTTAAGCCTGTTTTCCTTTGCCTATTTTGCATTTATCCATTCATATAATTCCAGACATAGTCAAAGAGGCAGTCCCATTTTATCAGTAGCTAGGTTGATTCTCAGCTTTCTACCAAGGCTTGAATCCCATCTGGAGAAATAAGACAGGAAATGAAATAGGAAAAGTACTTATGAATGTTTGTGTTTTACATTAGTGGTATTAAGACAGATGATGATGCAGAAGTACTCCTGTTAGTTAGTTATAATGGTATGGCTACCGTTAGATAAATCATATAATCAACCCGGTGACTGTTGTTAAGTGCTTTTGAGTTGGTTCCTACTCATAGGGATTCTGTGTAGGATTTCCAAGGAATGGCTGGTGGATTTGAACTGCTGACCTTGTGGCTAGCAGTCCAGTGCTTATCGTACAGCACCATACCACAAGTCAAAGTGACTAGTAACCCACAAAATACGCAGTTTAACACATTATTATAATTTTGTTTAGATTTCTTATTTAACAGACCAATTAACTATACCGAAGTTGAAATGTTAGTAATTATATAAACTTAAAAACAGAAGTTACTTCTGGTTATAGTTGTGTAAAGAGACATTGAAAAGAAGAACAAACTTGGAGGATTTATACTGCCAGATTCAACACTATAAAGCTATGGTTATCAAGACACTGTAGCGTTGTTGTTAGATCTGTAAGTCAATGGAACGAAATAGAGATTATCATGTATTATAAGCTGATTCTCCAGAAAAGTACCAAGACAATTCAATGGGAAAGTCTTTCCAACAAATGGTGTTCCATATGCCAAAAATAAACCAATTTGGACTCATATCTCATACCATACACAAAAATCAGCCTTAAATATAGTAGTTAAAACTATAAATCTTCTAGGAGAAAATCTTTGTAATTTTGAGTTAGGCAAGGATTTCTTATATGACATTAAAAGTATAATTCTTGGCCGGCAACGTCTGGCGCATGGGGTCCCCAGCCGATCTCCTCCCTCCCTGTCTTTCTCGGATGGTGGCTGTTTATGCTGGACGTGTGGCCAGAGATGGGTAAGGATCACGTGGAACCTCGGCAACTTAAGACAGAGCCATTGCCATGCTGCAATGAGTTTCAATGACTGGTAAGACTGAGGAATTCGCACTGACCGCCTAAGACAGGCAGCGTCCCTTAAACAAACAATAAATAAGGAGGATTCGGATGCAGACCGTGCAGACCCGGTCAGGAGGCCAAGACCCTGTGGGCCCAAGCGTTGTTGACTGTCCAAACCATAGGCTCTGAGGATCAGACTTTAGCTACCTAGTAGACATAGCAAACTGTCCCTCCTCTGATTATTCAGTAATGCTTGTTAGTAACCTCATACATGAGCCCTGGATATCCACAGACAAATGTAAAAACCTTCCCTAAAAGCCGAGACTGTAAATTCCAAAAAGGCAAGTCCCCCCGCCATCCAAAAAAAAAAAAAGCTAAAGAGGATAGAGAGAAACACTGTTAATTGATGATATATGGAGGGGATAATAATCAATGTAATGAAACAAGCTATATGAATGATTGAATGTGAACCTGATGATGTGCCCTGTAAACTTTCACTCAATCCAAAATAAAAACATTTAATTAAAAAAAAAAAAAAAGGTATAATTCTTAAAAGGAAACGTTGATAAATTTGACCTCATCAAAATTAAAATGTATTTTCTTAAAAGGGCATCCTTCCCAACTACTACCACTGACTGTTGTGACTGAGAGCACAATAGATGATGGTCTTGGATATAATGAGAAAAAAATGTGGCGCATAACTCAAATTCTTAAAAACAAAACAAAACACACAGACAAACTGCAAGAGTGAGCAACAGAGTACTCCCTGAGACTGTTGCCTTAGGCACTCTACAAATCTAGAGCTGAGTCTATCCCCTTAGGTCCCTGTTTAGCTAAACAGCAGAGTGGGACACAAAATAAAAGATAAAACTATACCTAAAATTGGTGCTGTACTTAATAACCATCAGTATGATAACAAAACGTCAAAATAATCCAAATGCGAAGATTAGAAGATAAGGAGACAGAGAAACTAGAGTATTGAAAATGAAATAATACAATTAAGCGGATGTTGACCCATTTTAATAAATGTAAATATATCACTGAACAGTTTGTGTGGAAATTGTCAAATGGGAACCTAACTTGCTGTGTAAATACTCATCAAAAATTGTATTAAATAATATTTTTAAAATAAAAAAGTCATTAAGAAAATGAAAAGACCAGCCACAAACTGAAAGTATTCGCAGTATTCAGAATATATAGTGAACTCTTTCAAGACAAACAGCCAGTGAAAAAAGAAAACAGGATTTGAATAGATATTTCACCAAAGAAATATGAAGGGCCATTGAACAATGATGTTCAACATCATTGTTGTTAAGTGCCATTGAGTCAGTTCCAACTGCTAGCAACCCTGTATAGGGTTTCTGAGGAGTGGGTGATAGGTTTGAACCGCCAAACTTGCATCATTAAGCACTAGGAAAATGCAAACTAAAACCACAATGGCTATGATAATAACAACTGAAGATACCAAGTGTTGGTGAAAATATGAAGAAACTGGTACCCTCATGCATAATTGATAGGTTAAATAGAACAGCCACTTTGGAAAAACATTTTTAGTTTCTTAAAAAGTTAAAAATACACTTATATCTTAGTATTTCTGCTCCTAAGTATCTATCCACGAGAAGTGAAAACATGTTCACACAAAGAATTTTGGACACAAAAATTAATTTCGTCCATTCTGTTGGCCAGGTAACTTCTTCCAACTTTCTTGGCATGGATCAGCACCTCCAATGCTACATCAGGTTGTTGAAAGAGTTCTTTTTGCATTTTGTCAGTTCCTTAAATTGTATTTCACCAATGCCTTCAGTGTAGCTTGAACTTCTTACTTTGGTACCATTGGTTCTTGGCCATGTGCTACCTCTTGAAATGGTGATGGTTATGTACTGTTGAGTTAATTCCGACCAATAGTGACCCTGTATAGGGTTTTTGGGGAGCGGCTGGGAAGCTTGAATTGCCAACTTTGCAGTTCAAACAGACTTTGCAGTCTACAGGGTCGCTATGGGTCGGAACCGACTCGACGGCACTTAACAACAACAACAACAACATTAACCCACAGCGCGAATATTCTTCAGTTTCAGCATCACTAGCTTTAGTGCTTGTTGCGTAAATTTGATTAGTAGTGATATTAATGGATCGTCTTTGTTGGCATATGAAAATTATCCTATCACAACATTGTACTTCAGGATAGATCTTAAAGTGTTCTTTTTGGCAATGAATATAATGCCATTCATGTAATCTATATGATTATCAGATTCAGAATGGCCAATACCAGTCCATTTAGCTCACTAGTGCCTAAGACATCGATCTTTATGCATTCCATTTCATTTTTGACAACTTCTAATCTTCCTAGATTCATGTTTCATACATTTCCTTGTTCTGATTATAAATGGATATTTGCAGCTGTTTCTCCTCATTTTGAGTTGTGTCCCTTCAGCAAATGAAGGTCCTGATAGCTTTGCGCCATTCACATCATTATGCTCAACTCTACTTTGAGGAGGTAACTCTTCCCCAGTCATATTTTGAGTGCCTTCCAACCTGAGGGGCTCATCTTCTGGCACTTGTTATCTGACATTATACTATTTCTATGCATAAGATTTTTAGGGACTAGCCATTCAGAAGTGGTCTGCCTTTCCTTTTTCTTAGTCTGTCTTAGTCTGGAAGTTCCACTGAAACCTGTCCACATGGGTGACCAGGCTGGTATTTAAAATATCAGCATAGCTTCCAGCATCACAGCAGTACACAAGCTACCACAGTCGAGCACACTGATGAACGAATGGTGATAGGATAAAGATAAAGACAGAGGCAATAAAATCCAAGTCCCTAGCTCTGATACAGCATAAAAGTATGATATCTTATTCTTCTTTTTCTTTCTGTAGGAGCTCTTAGGAAAGAATATTGTGGAGTTCTGTCATCCTGAAGACCAACAGCTTCTAAGAGACAGTTTCCAACAGGTAATATATTCCCCTCGTTCAGATCAAAATAAATATGTTTTATCTGTTTATTAATTCCACACATATTTATTGACCACTGATTCATTAAATGTTATGACAAGCACTACAGTTTTATGTTCTTTACTACTTAGCCTGTATTTTTAAGGAACAGAAAAGGACCAATACTTTGAAACTATGAATAATGTCAAAGTTTTTCTGTTTGACTTTGCAATCATCTAAGGAACTCTGGTGGTCCAATGCTTGAGAGATCTGCTGCTAACTGCAAGGTTCGAACCCACCATCTGTAGAACAAAGATGTGGCGGTCTGTTTCTATTAAGATCACAGCCTTGGAAACTCTCTGGGGCGGTTTCACTCTGTCCTACAGGGTTACTATGAGCCAGATTAGATTTACAGCAATAGGATTTAGAGGTTACTCACTCTCTTGTATCCAACTAGCTGTATATAAGGTGCTGCCTTTAAAGTATTTTTCTAGGATTTAGCTGTCCTATGCATAATGGTAGAAAAATTCACCTCAGGGAGCTTTTTTAATGGATAATAATAATAAGTAAGAGTTGAATCTTTATAATGATAGTTTACGGATCCTGTCTCCTAAGTGTATTTGATCAATTTACTTTCAAGAAAAACTTGGCTTTAGTAGTGGTAGTTCTTAGTTTATCCTTGTTAAGCCTCTGTATTGATACAATGGGCATAATAATAGTATTTACTTTTTCGCAGTTGTTGGGAAGAGTAAATAAAAGAATGCATATAAAGCATATAGCCCAGTGGGTGACAGATAATAATTACAAGATAAATGCTAGTTGTTAATATTATTGGTGTTTTATTGTTAGGGGGGTAGAATCAAGATTATTTTCTTTTACATGAAACTAAAAACTAGATAATCTTAAAATTGCTTTAATTTTTAAAAAGAAGCAAATCAGGACTAAAGTGAACTTAAGTTTTAGTTATAGAACTCTCCAGGTGTGCTGTGAAAACAAATTCTCTAGTTTGGGGAGAAAGGTAAGAGCCAGATGTAAGCTGTATGAGGGTAAGTTTAAAAAGTATTAACTAGGGTTCTAGTTAATACATGTACAGGTTTAGATCAAACAATACATGTTTCAATTTGTCTCTGAGATTAGTGGATGGCTGCAGACAAATTTTCTTAGCAATACATTGTTTCCTTGGGGTGTCTTCAAAAACAAGGTCTGATCAAAACAGAGGCGTCCAGGGGGATATGCTGGACCAAGTAAATTCAAGACAGAGAGTTCAGTTCAGAAAGAAGCGGTGGTGACTTGTTTTTTGGGATTTCAGAGGGAAAATCATGATAGATTTTCATGAAGGATGATCATACTAAGTAAAAGACTCCAGGAAAGTTATGCTGTAGAATTTTTTTCCATTATAACAATGCACCTGCTCATTTTTTGAGAGTACCCAGGGCTTTCCTAGGAGAATTTTGTTGGATCCCTCAACCCCATTGACCCTGCAGTCCTGCTTGCAACTTCAGGCATCTTTTTGTTCCCCAAATTCAAAGAACATGTAAAAGAAATATGATCTGAGTCCCTTGAGAATGTCAAAACTGCCGTTTTGATATGGTATAAATTAGAGAATACAGAATTCTTCAGGGAAGGGTTAGAGTGATAGAAACATCGCTTTCATAAGTGTATAGACCTAAGTGGGAGAATATGTCAAGATAAATGGTGTCACATTTTGATAATTTTGTTTAATAACAGTTTGTTATTTTATAGCAATACTTTGTGACTTACTCTCATATTTTGTTATTAAGTTTACAGATTTCCTGTATAGGCATATATAGCTGGTTCAGCATATCCTTAAAGGACTTACCAACGAAAGTGGGAAAACAGCCTTCTCTTTCTTTAGTTACAAGAATGAACTACTTTTCTTGTTTATTTTTTTACTAGAATGGTCAGGTAGCTTTTGAATCTGGGAAGACACCTGCTAAGTATTTGTTGTTATTGTTAAGTACCGTGGAGTCAGTTCCAACTCCTAGTGACCCTATATGGGGTTTCCGAGGAGCAGCTGGTCAGCTTAAACTGCTGACTTTGCAATTCAAGCCAACTTTGCAGTCCAGGGCATTAACCCACAACGCCACACCTCTCCTCATTTAATCACTTAGTTTTCACTCCTCACCTTGATTTTGTTAGTAACATTTAAAGAGTCTGGTCCTTCAAGGACAGTGACAATAGTTTTAGGATTATAGATTTTTTTTTTTTTTAATAAGGTTTTCTCTGCATTTCACTGATGGCATGAAAAATTTTTCAGGTGGTGAAGTTAAAAGGCCAGGTGCTGTCTGTCATGTTCCGGTTCCGATCTAAGAACCGAGAATGGCTCTGGATGAGAACCAGCTCCTTTACTTTCCAGAACCCTTACTCAGACGAAATTGAGTACATCATATGTACCAACACCAGTGTGAAGTATGTACTACGAAGGCCTTTTCTAGTGTTGGGATTTTGTATGGGCCAAGTCTGCTTAGTTTTACCAAGCTATCTCCTTCTCTTCCACCCTTGCAGTATTTATAACTCCACTAGATTAAATTTCCTCATCTTCCAACTTCTTATAGGCTTTAGTTAGTTAATCCAATAGAATAAGATTTTAATAAACAGTACTTCAGTGACTAAGTCCTAAGATAAGAAGAGCTTAGATAAGTATTTCAATTTTATTTATCAGCACTTTTTAGAAAGGATTTTATTTTATATGCCAGTTTTTTATTGCTGTAGTCTGGCAGGATTGTCCTCTAAAGCAGGGGTCTGCCAACTCTTTCTGTAAAGGACCAGGCAATAAATGTTTTAGATTTTGTGGGCCAAATGGTCTGTATTGCAGCTACTATGCTGTTGTAGTGCAAAATCAGACATAGACAAATTGAAGTAAGTGGACATGGCTGTGTTCAATAAACCTTTATTTTAAAAATCATACAATGAGCTGGATTTGACCCATGGACCATAATTTGCTGATCCCAGTTTTAAAGTATAGTTACATTTCACTCTTTCATTAACTTCTATTTCTCTTTTCCTTGAATCTTTCGTGTTTGAATTTTTTTTCTTAGCTAACTTCTTTTTTAAAAAAGAAACTGCTGTATTAAGATATAGTACAAATATTATACAGTAGATCCATCTAAAAGGTACAATTCAGTGCATCCATTGCCAAACTAATTTCAGAACATTTTCATCTCCCCTTAAAAGAAATCCTGTACCTATTAACAGTCAATCCTCATTCTCCTTCCTAGCCCTTTACAAACATTAATCTACTCTGTCTCTATTACTCTGCCTATTTTAGACATTCCGTATAAAGGAAATTATATAGTGTTGAGTCTTTTCGTGACTGGCTTCTTTCATTTAACATATTTTTAAGGGTCATTCTTGTTGTAACATGTATCAGTATTTCATTTTTTTTAATCACTGAATAGTATTTTGATATATGTATTTGCCATATTCTGTTTATACTGTCATTAGTTGATGAACATTTTGGTCTTCTATTTTTTAGCTTTTGTGAGTAACGATGCTGTGAATAGTCATGTATAACTGTTTAAACTTTTGAAGAGTCACCAAAATGGTTTTCCAAAGTGGCTGTACCATGTTGCATTTCTGCTAGCAATGAATGAGAATTTCACTGTCTCTGCATACCTGCCAACACTTGCTATTTCCGTCCTTTTGATTCTACCCATCATAATGTGTATAAATTGTCAGTGTCTTTCTTTGCCGTTAATCTGTCTCTGTAGCATTGGCCTTAGAGCCTAGTACTGTCTAGTTGATTCTGACTCATAGCGACCCTGTATAGGATTTCCAAGGCATGGCTGTTGAGTTTGAACTGCCAACCTTGCAGTTCAAACTGACCTTGAGGTCCACACCAGGAGTCCACAACAACGATGCAAACACAAAAAGATAAAAACAAAAACCAGAATGACTGTGACTATGCAGTTGAGTCCTAAGAGAAATTAGGAAAGTTTTCTAACTCAGTCTACTCTTTCATAGTGTTTAGTTAACAGAGAATTAAACTTAACATGCCCTAAAAACTGAATAGGAGGATGCTGGCCATCTTAAAAGTCAGTATCCAATGTTAGTATCCTCCAGTTTAATTTTTAGGGCATGTAAACTTTAATTCTCTGTTAACTGAGCAATATAAAAGAGTAAATCGAGTTAGAAATTTTATTAACTTCTTTTAGAACTCAGTTGCATGATCATAGTCATTCTAGTTTTTTGTTTTTATATTTTGATATTGGCATGTTTGTATTACACAACATTATTTTGTGTTTTCATTTTGAAATTTGAAAGGACTTAAGTTTCTGGCTTTCTCCAGTTTTATGTATAATTTTCCTACCACAACTAATTTTAACTAATTTTAATTTTTGATACTTAATAGAAAATTTTGGAAATACTGAAAAGTATATATATATATAGAAAGAAAAATTCTCCTTATTTACAGATAATCTTTGCTAATATTTCAGTGTGCTTTTTGTTTTTTCCCTATGCACTTGATTAAAACTTGAGCAATTGACAAATGTATTAATTCTAGCATATCTTTATAAGAAATTAAGAAAGAAGATTGAAATGTCTCTGTTTTTAGCATAGTCCTCTGAAACATGTATTTTCTAACTGAGGCTTTAAATAATCTAAGTTGCATGAATGTGCCATCTCCCATCAGCCATCACCTACATTCTCAATACTTACTGTTTGGTCTGGTGGTAAGGGTTTACAGTTGCAGTTTGGAAACTCTTTAGGGAACCATTACTTAATTAATAATAAGTATGGACTCTCTTGTAGAAGGTGAAGATGTTCTTCCAGAAGGGTAAAGTTTGAAATATCTAGATTATTTCTCTAAATTTCTAATGATAGAGATAGCTGCAGTAACAGCAAGAGCAACATTAATCAGTAGCCCCTGTTTCTGATTTGCTTTTATAAAATGGGAATGCACGTATCTCCCTATTTTGACTGACTTTAATGGCTGGTTGCCTTCTGTAGGTTTACATTAGAGGTATGGTTTCCCCAGCTTGTTGAAACCACACTATTAGCTTTCAGCTAGAACAGTAAAAAATAATAGCATCCTATGCATTTAAGGAGAAAAAACTATTCTGCAGAACCCTTTTCTCTGTTGAAGATTTAGTCCCTCCAAAATAAAAAGAGATCAAATCCTAAGACTATAGACACCTTTAAGCTACAGAGTTAACAATATTTACCTCAGAGCCCAGTTGGACTTGTAGTTTAAGGCATGAAAATGACTCTGTGACAGAGTCTGTCTCTCTTAACTGTGGGAGAGAAGGTTTAGATAGTGGAGAGAGACATGAAAGAACTTCCAAATGGCCTTTATCAAACCTTCCTCTTCTCCAGATACTCCTGGAGCCAATTCTACAACTTGGCATCTCTCATTATGTCTTCTTATTTCTTCACTGATTTCTGGAGATAATTGGCCATCTTAAAAGTCAGTATTAGAGCTCTTCATGTAAGCTGCCTGAGGTGATCTTGCAAAATGGTTTGCTACTCACTTGACCCAGAAAACCCCATAAAATCATGCAAATCAAGAGATTCAGGTCTATTTTAAGTTTGCCCTTGAAACTGTCCGTGCCATCAAGGCTATACATATCTGAAAAGCCACTAAGCATCTGAAAGATGTCACTTTGCAGAAGCAGTCTGTGGCATTCTGACATTACAATGGTGGAGTTGGTAGGTGCACCCAGGCCAAGCAGTGGGATTAGACATAGGGTTGGTGGCCCAAAAGAGTGCTGAATCTTTGCTGGTCATGCTTAAAAATACAAAATAATGCTGAACTTAAGAGTTTATATGTGGGTTCTCTGGTCGTTGAGCACATCCAAGTGAACAAAGCCCCCAAGATGTGCCACTACACTTACAGAGCTCATGGTTATATCGACCCCCCTACATAAGCTTCTCCTGCCACACTGAGATAATCCATACTGAAAAGGAACAAACTATTACTAAACCAGAAGAGGAGGTTGCCCAGAAGAAATTGAAGAAACAAAAACTTATGGCTTGGGAATAAATGCAGCTTAAAACGAAAACGAAAATAAAAGCAGTGAAAAAATCTATTAGATATAAACTTAAAACTCATTAGACTAGGGGTGGTGGTGGTGGTGGCATGCTGTGTCGGTTCCAACTCATAGCGACCCTGTGCAGGCTTTCTGAGGCTGTAAATCTTTACAGGAGCAGAAAGCCTCATCTTTCTCCTGCAAACCAGCAGATAGTTTTGAACTACTGACCTTGAGGTAGCAGCCCGACTTGTAACCACTATGCTACCAGAGCTCCTTTCATTAGAATAGAAGGAAGCATCTATTAAAATGTAATTTCTGCTCAACTAAATATTAAGAGTAGAATTCTGTGGATATGATAAGCCAAGGTATTTGGATTGAAGTATACCTCTTCTCATACATACCCAAGTGTTATTAGCCAGCCCCCAAATAAATAGATATACCCTTATATTCAAATTATTATTGTTTAGTATTTTTGAGTCAGTTCTGACTTATAGCGACCTTGTATAAGGTTTCCAAGGAGTGGCTAGTGAGCTTGAACCGCCACTGTGTGGTTCAAGCTGAATGACCTTGCAGTCCAGCACATTAACCTGCAGTGCCACACCAGGACTCCAAATCAGGAAATTCAGATTAGGAAATGAGAAACTGAGGTAAGGATTAATTGCATTTTAAGGATAAGAAAACAAAATCTCAGATAATATCTCTTACATCACACTACTAGGAGATCAAGAAAACAGGACTCTCGATCCCAAGAAAACTACATTTTGATGCTTTAACATAATAGCCAATTGAGCTTTAGGGTGTGGATCATAAAAACAGAAATGGAAGAAATCTTTTTACCTCAAGCCATTTTGAAAGAGTAGACAATAGAAAAGATGTATCCTTTGAACCCCAAATAAACCTTTGCCTAGTTATTCAATAAAAGGAGCTCTGGTAGCATAGTGGTTACGAATCAGGCTGCGAACCACAAGGTCGGCAGTTCAAAACTACCAGCTGCTCCGCAGGAGAAAGATGAGGTTTCCTGCTCCAGTAAAGATTTACAGCCTTGGAAACCCTGTTCAGGGTCACTATGGATCGGAACCGACTCGACGGCACTTAACAACAACAGTTACTCAATATTGTGCTAAGATACAGGCATCTTCAGGTCAGGTTAATTCCTACTTAACCTTTAATACAGGACTTTGCACTGTTTCTGTCATGACTATTGAAATGAAACTAAAGACCCAAACTTTACAGTTTGAGTGAATCCTCACAATAACCAGAATAGGAAAAATTGTGGGTCAAAGCCTTGAAATGGGAGACTAGGAAAAGGTGTGGTAAACCCTCTTAGGAGGATTGAATTATTTGCAGGACTATAGAGTGTCATGCACATTTAAAGTGGTTGGCTGCCATCTTAAGAGCAAAGTGCTGTGGAGGCACTTGGCCAGACATCTTCAAAGC